TGATTATCTTACTTTATCCATAAGGGTTGTGTTTGGGAGCATATGTACTACAACTGCATCCGCCTCTTATATTCACCGGTGGACACCGGTTAAGACTAGCCCACCCTCANGAGTTAGGAGACGAGCCGGGGCAGGTTTAGAAATGCTTGGATAGAGTGGGTTATAAATTTTGTACATAATACGACATCACGTGAGTTCATCACTAGTATATATACATACCCGTGCGTGTGTGTGATTATCTTACTTTATCCAGAAGGTTTGTGTTTGGGAGCATATGTACTACAACTGCATCCGCCTCTTATATTCACCGGTTAAGACTAGCCCACCCTCGATGTTTTTTCTTAATATTACTAGTATATATCTCAAAAAATTCTTAAGTACTTCTAATTTTACCCATCATATTAATTTCTTATTTTATTAATTATTATAGACTCACACCTAAATAACTATTAATCGTTGAACATGTTTTGGACACATTCGGATAAGTTTTGGACCTATTGGAGTTTATTGTTGTATTTTTCAAAAAAAAATCTCATTTTGTTACTATATACAATGAGGGTCGGGGCCATCAATGGTAAATAAAATCTCATTGGGGTCATTAATAACCGTAATTAACCTATTAGTTTCTAAAAAGTTATAATTAATCTTTTTTGTTGTGTTTTGCTTATATCTGCTATTTATACCGATTTTTTGCCGTATTTTGTTTAACAAATTTTCAAGTATCATATGTAAAAAGTAAACACAATGTATTACCTTACTTTCGTCCATTGGAAGGAAAAAAACATGATAATAAAGCTCGTTAAAATATCCACCTAAGGGCAATTTTCTATNTATGTAAAAAGTAAACACAATGTATTACCTTACTTTCGTCCATTGGAAGGAAAAAAAAACATGATAATAAAGCTCGTTAAAATATCCACCTAAGGGCAATTTTCTATCTCCGCCCGTCTTTGTTGCTTTTCTACTCGGTTAAGTAGAGCACTTGCTTGCTAACACAGTAATACCCATTGTCAACCTGGGCCACTGCTTAAAGATCAAAACATGCTTTGCCATGTAAAAGAAGTGGGGGGAATAAGCTATTAAAGTCTTAAAGGCCTTTTTATTTTCTTGCATTGAGGATTGGATAAAAGCAATCTTCTTTTTTGCTATCATTGACTATTACAGTGTTCTTTAAACTTCGACTGATCTACGTAATGCAATGAATTGAGCGCTTTGATGACTTTAAATGGGGGCCATCTGACACTTAAGATCATGATTAAAGTTGTTCAAGTTCTTCTTTCAAGGGGATGAGGACTCTATCATTTGTCATTTCTTCATGAAATTGAGAGCATTGATTGAAATAACAAATATACAGTGGCCACAAATGATGAGCATAATTATAAGGTGAAGGAAAAAAAATAAAACAAGTTTGTAATATCAGCATTAATATTAAAATCTGAAAGCTGATATAGGATTGTTCATACCAAATTATCTGACTCTTTCTCTCTCTCTCTCTCTCTTTTCTTTTGATAAGTTATTTTTCATATTTAATCTTTTATATTCCTTTTTGAGTGTTAATTAGCAAGGGGATTAAGTGCTAAAAAAATAAATTTTTTATTGTTTTTGATTTTTATGTCGTTTTCTCAATGAAAAAATTAAATACTGAATCCATTTATTTTTCTTTTTTGGGATTCGAGCAAATTTGAATGTACAATATCAAAATAATGGTAAAAATTGAATAAGTTTTGTCTTAATATTCTATACAAAATCCCATAACATAATTAGTCTAAGAAGCGGAATTTTGTTTCTAGNTGTTTTTGATTTTTATGTCGTTTTCTCAATGAAAAAATTAAATACTGAATCCATTTATTTTTCTTTTTTGGGATTGGAGCAAATTTGAATGTACAATATCAAAATAATGGTAAAAATTGAATAAGTTTTGTTTTAATATTCTATACAAAATCCCATAACATAATTAGTCAAGAAGCGGAATTTTGTTTCTAAGAATGTTTTATTTCCATTTGTATCTATTGCAAATTCCAATTTGAGTAGAAAATTCTCTCTATTCCTTCTATCATCTCTTTAGAATGTCATGTTAACACTTAATTAATCACGTACAATTAATTTGATTTAACTTTATAGGAGACTTTGTCAAATAGTAGGAGTTACTCATCTTGATTATATCATGATTTATACAATTAACTAAGAGATTAGGATCCTAATAACAATATATTTGCANTTTGTCAAATAGTAGGAGTTACTCATCTTGATTATATCATGATTTATACAATTAACTTAGAGATTAGGATCCTAATAGCAATATATTTGCGGCAAGAGTAACCAATTTACAGCCCTATGAAGAATTTTTTAATGTTTCTTCTNCAATATATTTGCAGCAAGAGTAACCAATTTACAGCCCTATGAAGAATTTTTTAATGTTTCTTCTCAAAAACCACCATCCGACTGGGAAAAATAATTGCTTAACAATGGCAAGTGTCCATACATGCAAGCGATAAGTCACGGTTTAAGTTTAGGAATCAACCTCTCCAAAATGGTGATAAGATTATCTACGGCTTATGTCTTTTAAATTCTATTATAGATAGAAGAAATATACATTGGGTATGACTTGAATTTTATGTAACCAAAACTATTCCAATTATTGCAAAGGTAGTTTCAAACTACGGTGCACATGAAGATGATAATTATGAACTGTTTTTTCCTTTAATAGGGTACTGAAAATGTACCAAAAAAATCTCTTTAAGCAGAAGCTTGGACCCAGGTGACATGATAGCATGGACGGTACTTGACTAATATCAACTAACCACATAAGCTAACATTGAGCAGGCTTAAAGGGAGACAAGAATCTTGCTAAAAGCTATATAATGGAATGTAGTAGGAGACACCAATGAATGGGTGGTTCCTTTTTGACCAGTAATCTTTAGAAAAGCCTACCCATGAGGTCAATGAGGGGAAGCCATAAAAGATTTTAGCTTAAAAGCTTGGAATCCTATGTGAACTATGTGTTAATTGTGATTGGTAAGATCTTTTTGATTGGAAGTTAATTTAATTAATCATGGATGGTCCCTTCCATAAGTTAGGATAACATATAATATGTATGTGTATGTGTATGTATAAAGCAATAGAAATAAATCCTATTATAAACTCAGTTGGCAAGATGTCTCTTTTTTAGTGTGATGGAAAATTTTGATTAGAGAACTCAATGTCCAAAACATAGGGCTTTTCATTTGACTTTTTTTTTTCCTCTCAATTTCATTTTGCTCATTTTCCTATTTGTCGTTTTCAGTTTTTTGCTTCTTTCAACAAAAACAATAACAGTAAGACTCCAAAAAAAACTTCCATGATAATGGATTAAAGAGATGTGTGAACCAATACTAACTATTTGAAACATTAGACCCTAAAATGACGTGGATTTCGTATACAATATTTCTTTTTTTATGGGTTCGTGTACAATTATAGTAGTGCAACATAAACAAACAGTCTAAGTGCATGAAAGGTTTCAATTTTTCATGCCCAAGATAGCTGAGCATCAATTTAAGCTCTTTTTGAGAGGTACATATCCTCTTAAGTATCATTACTTTAAGAAGCAAACATCTTCTCCTTACTTAATTGGCATCTTCAGGGTATAGAGTAAAAAAAACCCTACATGGTTGTCTTTCACTGAGAACACAAGCTCATCAATTTGAATCAGACGGACCTTGTGGGTTCAAAATCTTTATATTCTCTATTTTTAACATTTTTTTTTGTTAAAAAGACTCTAGTTAGATTGACACATAGAATGAGGTAATGTTCTCAACACATTTTGTTTACGCAATCATACGTGTCGCTTGGACTAATGACGCCTACATAAACTCGGGTTTGCACGATCACTAGTAAAGCAGGCACATTAGATCAAGCAAAAGATTTCTTGCAAAACTCAAGCTTAAGACCTTAACCATTGCAACTTTTGCATTTGATCTATTAGTGGGCAATAAAAAAATTTTACTTGACTCTGATTTCATGGAAGTTTTTTCAGAGCCACATCCTCAAAATATTGTACTGTTTATTTAACCCCCTTCCCCCCCAAAAAAAATATATATATATATTGTAATTTCTTAGCTTCAAAAAAGTATAAAAATACCAGATTAAATACTTGAATGAGATTCATTTCAAAATAATTTCTCTCGATTGAGTAACAAGTCAACTATATATTGGGGGACCTATTCTTTAAACAAAACCTCATACTGTTAAAAGTAGTTAAAAGGTGAATTTAGCTGGAGTACGAAATGTCACTTCAAATATCGTAACCTAACTTTTAACTCCACCTATGTATTATTTATTGAGGACCAAAAATAAAGCTGCCCTCCAAAGGAAAGGGGTAAAAACAAAACCATCAGACAATAAGACTAGGGCAATAGAATAAGGGGATTAGAAGTGGCTGACGATTGCAAATGTATGAGAGGAATTTTGCCGTTGCATTATCGCAAATGGGTTTAAACCCGGACTCCTCTAATCTCGTAACATGTCATACCAACACTTAATCAACCGTGTTATAATGGTTTCAATAATAACTTTATATAATTTAACTGACTCAAATTAGTAGTGAAGGAATAATAATGCCAGACATGCTGACATTAATCTTCAATTAAAATTCATAGGGTATATAGAAGATTAAATAGAAAATGAAAAGTGGGTTCTAATTACATTGAACTGCATATTTAGTTTATCCTACATCTGTGTAGCCATGCATCTGATTCTAATCTGGTAATGGCTCATCTTTTGGATATTCATTGCCCATAAACTTTTTTGAAAGGTGAAAATTCTTACAGATATCCTTTGAATCCCACATCTATAAGCAAAAGCTCCCATTGCGGTCCATGAATAACATCTTTAATTGCATTGCAGATAAGTGCAATATTGATTTACAGTTCTATAATGAAATTTTATTGGGCACAGAGAGAGAGAGAGAGAAAGAGAGAATCTTTCTGAAAGTTAAGCTAGTACATAACATCACTGATGTATTACTTGGAAAAAAAAACAGATGAGCCTCATGTAGAACACTTTGCACCAAATAATAATGCTTGAAATTCTCAACACACACTGATATCAGATTGAAACCAACAGAACTACATGGATATATTTAAAATAAAGAAACCTCACAAAACGAAGGATTCAGCTATACTTGAACAAGGGTCTGCAAACATAATTAATCTAAAGCTCCCTAACTACCATAGAAGAAGAAAATAGGAAAAAGAAAAAGAAAAAGAAAACAAAGAAGAAGAAATTAAGTAGATAGGGATAGTGGCCAAAAGCATCAACTTGGAATATGAAATCATCTTCGCCCTTGATTCTCTCTTAGACTGCAGTACCTAAAAAGCCAAGCCATTGAATTTTGTTAAATATGAATATGAGAATTATTACTGTATGAATTAAATCATTTAGGAAGCCAAGAGTTTACCCAAAAATGGAGAATCTGTGATGATTTAATATGAAGACTTGCTACCAGTGTCTCTTGGCGCATTGCATCTGAAACATTCCATCCTGCTTGCAAAGTTGTGTTCGTTGCACCCTGACCTGTTTAAATGAAAATACTTGCTCAACAGGGAGAGAAAGTAAATGTAATCCACTATATTAAATATGGGTGTCTGTGTCCGTCGGGGAGAAGACTGCAATGTACCATAAATCGAGTTTTTAAGCTTTTAAACTTGGTTTTCTTGGGAAAAAAGAAACCAAAATGGTTTACTAAAAAACTCCATGGTTTGTGTGTATATATGTGTGTATCGACATATAGTGTTTTCTGTCCCTGCTCCGATAGAGAATCGGGATAAAATTCGTGAACCAAGACGTGGTGGCTAAGGACTAGAGTTATATTTTTGGTGTGCGTTTTGATACATATCACACACGCACACACCCACCCTATGGAGACGACTATGATGTATCACAAATTTAATGCGTAAAATTCTAAACTAGGTTTCCAAACTAACGAAGAATACAAAATGGTTTACTACAGAACTTCATGTTATGCACAAAAACACATATATGCCTATATGTGTGTGTCTGTGTGCATTTTACCTGGTGCAAATCCAGTCACCGGATTTCCAGTTAGAGCGACTGCCACTGCTTCCACTGCCGAACCCGAAACCTCTTCCTCGAGGCATGTCGGAATCAAATCCGCTAGATGCTTCTTCCTTGAATGCACCGCACTTGAAGCAGCTTGAGCGGCTTGCAAAGTTATGGGCTCCGCAGTTCCCGACAGCGCAGTACCAGTCACCGGGCCTCACATCAGGGCCTGAAAATCCGAACGATGAACTTCCCCTTCCACCAAAACTTCCATAGTCGCCTCTCTCTCCAGGTCTTGGCTCTCCACATCGCTGGCATGAGTCTCTCCTCTGAAAGTTCAGGTGTTGGCATGACCTGCAGTTCCAATCTCCTGGCCTGTTCATGGTTCCTGTATCAAAAAATCAATTCCAGTGAGATACACAGAGAGAGAGAGAGAGGAATTTGTATCAACCTCTAGCAGAGAAAATGTTCATGTATGCATCTCATTGATATAATGTTATTAAGAAGGAGCTAGTGAATTAACAACATAGCATGACACAAAAGATGTTTTACAACTTAAGCAGGTGGAACTTCACCGATTAATGTTTAATACAGTATCTTTGTAAGAGGGATAAGACTATATAGATTTGACTCTCTCTAGACTCTCTAATGGCAGAAGTCTCATATACTACTAAACTAGAAGGAATGGTGTAAATTGATGACATGGTATATTAGGTTAGACAAGAAACCTAGTATGGAATAGTAAATCCATGAAGAAGTAGAGAGTTGCATGGCTATCAGGTTTATATAAAACATGGACAGGGCCTCACCTTCAAGAACAAAGAGGGGTCTCAGAGGCTGCTAGCAAATTGAAGAAGATAATGCTTTAAGGGACTTATGATTCTGGGTAAGGGCTAGAAGGGTTTATATACATGCTAAGGTCTCGATAATCGAGGGGATTGAGGCAGCTGGGTGGAGTGCTAAGGATGTTCTTTTTGATATTCTCTTGTTCATTTGGCCTCCTTGAACAATGGAATCATCAAAACCTAAAAATAAAGAGAAGAGATAAAGGAAAAATTAAGATAGAGACTCCAAAGAGAGAAAATATTGTGAAATTTGATAAAGCTCCAACTCCAGCTTCTTTTAAGGCTTCTTGAGGTGGGAAATGCATGTACATTGTACACATACCAACATATTCTACTTCCAAGTTCCAGAAATGCCCTTCTTTATGCTTTTATATACATATTATCTTTTAATGCTAATTCAAAAGTTTAACTATGATTTATGTACATTCCTTCCTTGCATTGTTTATGAGCTAATGTGTAATAAGTAGCTCAGAATGGAAATATTTTTCTCTGAAAACAAAATACCTAGATGCTCTCATTTTAAAACTTTTTTAGAAGTTTAGAATATACAAAAAAATACTCCAGATCAGGGCAATTCCTTGTATGTGTACGGTTTGTTATATATATAATGCACTAAATGCAGAATATACATGGTTAATAGCACTTTTCAAGTGATAACAAATTCGACCTCTCGATCTGCCATAGTCAGCCTCTTGTTATGCCTGACCAGTGATTCCACTATCTCCATGGCTATACCTTTTCCAGGCTGCTCTTCAAACCTTCAAGTGCCGATATGTGCTTGGGCCAACACCGAGGCTCTACCTTGGCTTTTCATTGGTATCTGTCAGGGGGACCACTCTAGCAGCTACCCCAAAGAAAATTTCAATCCAAGAATCAACATGTAGCTGTGCTTGATATCCCTGAGTGTTCAATAGTTACTACACTTGTTAAATTGCACTCGGAATCAAATCTTAATCAGGCAAATTGACAGCCAAATCACATATTCTTTAAGAAAAAAAGGTGCATACAGGCGCATATTGATCATGCATTACACAATAACGAGTGATTAGGAAGATATGATGCTATATTTTGCTTACAAACGAATGGAACTAATAGGGTGGGAAATTTAATTATTCGAAATTCGACCTTCTCTATCTAAGCTAAGCAACAAAAACCACCATGTCAACCAAAGCAAAAGCAGCACAAACTATTAATTATAAGCAGAGAATTTCTTAAGATCTGCAAATCTTGTGATGCCTGAACTATACAAAACCCCTTGGCATTGAAATTGGAGCCCTGTATTGCCAAGTTGGCAAACAGAATAATGCTTGTGGCTCGGGATTGGATAAGACGGAACAAAGTTCACTATTTCTTGTCAGACAAAATGAATATTCCATGCATTTAAATCTTTCAAAATGACCCCACTCCTAATTCTTATCCCAAAATTACAAAGGAGGAATCATGTCTCCCTCTCAATAATATACTTGGAGACCCACATTGTAATGGTCACTAACTATGCTGCGAAAATGGTGATTCCTTTTCTATTTATGAATATTCGATGTTTGTACTTGAAACTCAATTTTACAGCAAGCCAAAAGGGTCTTGAGACAACCCTCACTTTCACGAAAATAAACATCATACCAACATGAAGGGACCAACTGTAATTTTGGGACCTAGAGGGGAATTTCTGTTTCTTTCAACAAAAAAAAAATGTATCCTAATGACCCACGGGGATATATAGCTTGATCGATTCAATGTTACAAGTTTGAGCTTTGGTTTACATATTAATTGTTTGTCGGTGTATGTATCCGGAGTTTACATGATTAAAAAAGAGTGCATTAATAAAACAATTTTCAGTTATGAGAAAAAAAAAAGAACAAAAGGTAAAACAAATATGTATTGTTTCAATAACCTTGATGATTTCTTCGTTGGTGGGCATGACCATTTTCATAATATTTCTTGTTTGTTATAATTGTCCGCATTTTGAGTTTACATTACAATGACGAGACAATTTTCAATTGTGAAAAGAAAAAATAGAAGGGAAAAACAAAATTTATTCTACGATATTATATAATTGGATTTTTTATAGACTATGCATGTGGATAATATGTGTGGGTGTAAAATCCTCTCTAATACAATTTTTTATTTTCTTCTCAGTCGACCTATATGAATTTAGGGGGAATTCTATATATACAAGTGACTCTCATTAAATAATGGTAGATGATGTGCTAAAAAAGAAAATGAAAAAAAAAATGTATTGAAAGGAATTTAGATCCATATATATGAACAAGAGATTAAAACAAACCATGCTATCGACTGAGGCTTCCCAGTGGCCAAATATTAATTTATCTTTTCTTTTTTTTTATTCCTTTCGTTTAAAAAAATGTGGATCACTCGTGCATGTCAGATTCTGTAAAATGGTCATAGGTGAATCAAATATCGAAGCCGATGTTTAGTTTGCATGGCTAGAACTTCAAAGAACGTGGGTTCTCTTTGTTATTATTTTCATGAACACTCATTGGTTTGATTGGAATAATTGGAAGAGAAGGTCCAGTCTGTGTATCAGCAGACTAAAATAATGGAGGAGATAATTACGTGATGGGAGTGTTCAAAATCAAATTAAAAAAAAAGAAAGTGAAAATGGTAGAGTTTCGATAAAGATAGTCGAAGCTGATGATGGAAGAGAAGTCTTCGAGGTCCAGTTTGACCATCTTTTCTTTTATCTCTCTTCTTTTTCCTCTTCACTGCATTGGCTTTTTGGCTGTCGTATTTCTTTTTCCTCACGATCCCCTCTTGTTTTTCTTTTGAATGAATCTCTCTCTCTCTCTCTCTCTCTCTCTCTATCTCTCTCTCTCTCTCTCTCTCTAGGTGTAAAGAGAAGCACCAGCGAACCACTCTCTCCAAGAAATGAACCAGGAAGAAAAGAATAACAAAAATAGAAGGGGGAAAAAAGGAAAAATTACACTTTGACCACCCTTTCAATTATGATACATGTTTCAGATTATCCCTTCAACTATCATATTTTTTATATTTCTCTTTCAACCATGTGATTAATTTGGTAATTTTTGTCCAAAAAAATTTAGCAACGGTTTGCAATTCAGGCAATGTAAAATAATTCAAGTAATTGCGAGTAGGGTTGTTAATCAAATCGAACTACTTGAGTTTGGTTCGTGTTCAGCTCATTTTTTGTTCGCTCAAGTTTGGCTCGTTTTTTAAACAAGTCAAATTTGAATAATTTTTTAGGCTTGTTTGAAAAACGAACCCTACAGACTTTGCTTAAATTAGATAGGCTCGACTCGTTTGTATGCAAATATTCAGGCTCGGTTCATGTTCGACTCGTTTTGAGCTCGTTTAGGTTTGACTCGTTTTATAACAAACTAAACTTGAACAATATTTTAGGCTTCATTAAAAAAAACAACATTTTTAGGCTCGGGTCGAACTCGTTCAATTATCAGTCCTAATTGAGAGAAAAATGTAAAAANTTAGGCTCGGGTCGAACTCGTTCAATTATCAGTCCTAATTGAGAGAAAAATGTAAAAAAATTAATAGCTCTGGGTACAAAATGAAATTAGTTCAAAGTTTAAGAGGTTCAAGTTTAATTTTTTCTAAAAAACCATGGCATATCTATCACCCACCATANAAAATTAATAGCTCTGGGTACAAAATGAAATTAGTTCAAAGTTTAAGAGGTTCAAGTATAATTTTTTCTAAAAAACCATGACATATCTATCACCCACCATGTTCTTGGGGAAGGGTAAAGAGAGCTGTAGCAAACTGTGAAAAAGCAAAAAGAAAGGGAGGATTGATTCGATTCTCTCTTTGGGAAATGCCTCCATGCATGACCATGACCAACGCCCGATATCCCCAACGTATACATTCTGTCTACTTTCTCTTTTTATTCCGCCTTATATGTATAGCATGAACACTTTTTTTTACCAATCGACAATTGTCTCAATCTTGTGATTTTCAACTCGTGATTATGATGTGAACTCAAGATTCGTATGATCACTTATCAATTATGCATATCAGTCAAATAAAATATTTTTATAATACTTAGAATTAAGAAATATAAGCTATGACTTGTCATCACAAAAATATTCTCATCGAAGCTATCTTGACGGGTTGTAAAATTAATGAGTATTTTCTTCTTTAGAGCACNACAAAAATATTCTCATCGAAGCTATCTTGACGGGTTGTAAAATTAATGAGTATTTTCTTCTTTAGAGCACGATTGGTATAGACAAATTTCATATATGATGCTTTAGTCTGTTTCATTCGTTCTCTTTTTTTTCACCTGTCCTCAAGCAATCAAAGAATCCTTAATTCGTTTGTTCCTATTCTCAGGTTCTACAGCTTACAGAGGTGAAGTAAATGTTATAGTAATGAACTTGTAGATTGTGCACAATCTATCTCTTTTTATCTTAAAACACTAGAGCACAAGACACCATGCATGCACAAGATCGACAAAACATGAAGAGGGGTGGCAATGTATTTGCTTTTATCTGTTTTACGTGGGCAATTTGTATGGCTGATCCAAATTTAAACTAGGCTGGTTCAGGTTTGAGTTTGGTTCAGAGGTTTATGCTATGAGTTCTAGAGTAACATTAGAGATTAAATTCACGAGTAATGCTACTAAAATCTAGATATGTAACCAATTTGTCGACTGGAATTTTAATTTAAAAAATAACAAAACTATACCCAAGTTGTAATTTAAAGTTGAGGTTTCGTTAATGTAAATTGGGAATGTTTATCTCATTTCTAGTAAAGAGATACCCAAATAATAATCACATAATTTTTTGTATTGCCAGTTATCTAGTACAGTAATTCAAGTTTACTTCAATGTTCGCTTTTAGAAATGAACTTAATTTTAGAACTGAGCTTGATTTTTGTAAAATTGTTTGATCTTATAGATGAAATTAAATTAAAATAGTTTGATTTTGTAATGGTTATTCCAATGTTATCANTTGTTTGATCTTATAGATGAAATTAAATTAAAATAGTTTGATTTTGTAATGGTTATTCCAATGTTATCAGAATCGG